AGAGCGCTATTTAAACTAATTACTACATCTAAGTGAAGAACACTATTCACTTGTTTATGCTAAATAATTGGGAGGCTGGTCAATGTATGAGTCGTCATGAATGTAGCTAGTAATAATAGAACCTTATTACGTTCCGTATTAATGCGACTCTTCATTGCCAAGTAGCGCCAATTTCAACACGATGGCCATTTGCGGGTGTGTAGCTGCTTGGAAAAGCCTCAAAAACTGCTGGGTGAGGGGCTCTTCTATGACGAAGAAGCCGGCCAGCTGGGCGCAGCAGACCTGTGTATACCTAAGAGCGTCTATCAACCTTCCTAGCCTCCTTCTTAGTCCTCCTCTGATTCATGCCGCAGGACAAATCGAAGGTTGTGAAAGCATATCAGAAAAGTCTTGGTCGAGGGTGACTGTCGTGAGGAAGCCTAGCCTAGCATCCAAAAGTCGTAACGGACGTGGGGTCGTTGAGTAACTCATTTATTTCAGACGCCCTCCTGGCTAGTAGATTCAGAAGTTAAGATTGGTATGGACGATATTGTAGACGAGTCGAAATCGGCTTTTCTTGAGGGCGGGAGGATCTTTTACTTTGCTTTCGTGGGCTTTTTGTTCGCCCGCTGTTGGGTAGTACATGTTGTAACATAACAAGGGCTTCTCTGACTACCGTTGTAGCATTTGGTACCGCATTATCTTTCCTCATTCCCAGCATCATTATTGTCGTCTTGGTCGTCTTATGAGTTATCGGAAGTGTATCTTTGAGGGAGGGGGAGATAACTCAGCTCAAAGTTCAAAAGGTGTTACTCAATCTCGGCTGTACAGACTCTACAGTGAGAGTTAGAGGTTCGTAGAGGACACCACTGACAGGTGTTAAGAATAGTCCCCCTGATACTTTAACTAATATAAGTTCATTAAAACCAAAAACCTCACTGTTCCAATTTCTTTACATCTGATCCTGAAATCCCCAATATTTAACGATCTATACAGTATTGACTTGACGATCAACGTTCACTTCTATCGTTCCAGATACCTCCAGACCTTTGATACACCGAACCTTGCCAAATGTGTTTCATTTTATTCTCCCTGCACATTGTTTTTAGGGAACTCTATATTTCCAAATTTTCTGTCAAGACAATAACATTATCTAGCTAATCGGCGTGGCCTCATAAATGGGTGTGAGATTCAACCGAATATTCCACCATGAAAGTTAATCACTTCAGTGTTAGATGCGCAGAGGAAAGTGGCGTCCTGTCCCGATGCTATTGAGCTTCACCTTTGCTTCCACAGTTACATAATCGTGCCCCATCTTGGGAGCTGATTTAACGTATCCGCCAATTTATTGAGCTAGATATTCTATTTGAGCTTCACTAACGATTTTTTCTCCTACGAGTAAACTTTCTCATCCACACGGCCAATTTCTTCCCGTCCAATTAAAAAGAAATATCCGTAAAGTAAATTCAGCCTCTAGTGCTTGGAGAACACTTGACTGCGAACAGCTTATCACGGCTCAGCTCAATTGAGTCGCTAGTCATGATATTGGGGGTTTTATCTTTTAAGGCTAATATTGAGTAGTGGTTATCATATACTTTTTTATCTACACCTCCGACCTATGAAACCTTGGAATTAAAATAGATTACTCGCTTGTCAGCGCCACTACAGTATAGGGCAAGTACTCAACACCTACCCCTGGTATGTTCGAACTTAGTAGTAAAGTATTCTCTCAAAGTCAAGATTCAGCTATTCTCCAAATATCAAATCTAATTCTTTTCGACTGGAATTCTTGTCAAAATGAGTAGTGCTGGGCTTTGAATGATCAGAGCCCTCAGTTTTCAGAGATTTCTAAACTACAAAAATTACGAAGAAAACAGTCAACACCATTCAAGACGATATTAAATTAAGCTGATTATTACACCCCCCTAGATGCGTCCAAAAATTCTCAAATCCTCCTTATTTGATGCTGAAAAAGCAACAACAGGACCCGCGACTCTGTCTTCCACAATACTTATGATGGATGATTCCTTCATAGTCATAGACTCAGTAATGACATAAATAAAACTCTATTCTATGATGGATGATTTTCAGAGGAGGAAAATCTTGGGTTGCTAATTGTGCATATTCGATGAAATAACCAAGTCCTATGAGGAAATGAGGAAGAAAAGCTGTGTCATGAAAGCTTTGGAAGTGGTTGGTATGGAAAATTCTTCCTTGGGGGGTATCAATTGTAAAAGTGGCGGAGGCAGTCATTCCTCCAATCCAGTTACAAGTTTAGGGCCTTGCAGGGTCAGAATTGGACTTATTCGAATCCATTTGTAAATATCGTTAACGTGGCATCATTGGATAGTTAAGCAATGAGTAAATTATGTAACACTTAGCAGGTACTCAATCATATAGTTTATGTAATACTCTTGTTGTAGAGAATATAAACATTTATTTTTGGATTGACCTGTGCGAGCAATCTATCGCACCGAACAAGTTGGCCCACGAGGCAATGATTCAAATTACTCCACGTCAAATTTTCTCTCCCAACGTGATCGACTCCTGTCTAAGCCTCATCAAGTCTACTAGTACAGCCAAGTATATCCTATACCCAATGACCACAACTCTCGTCATCTTTTTCTGGCCTCAGCTGGTCGTCAAATATACGCCCATGCCGATATTTACACCCGGCGGAGGAAGCAAAGCATGGCGCACAAATCTGGGAGACAGCCGATTGGGATGAATGTGAGGGATCAGGACAAGTTCATAAGATTATGCAAAGGAAGGATTTAACCTCGAAGGGCGTGAAATTCTAAATTTTGGCAAGAAGTTTTACGAAATGAGCTTTGTGTGCGTCAAGACTTCACTTGCGAGAGTGCTGCTGACACTATAAACACAAGTCAACACAAGTCAACACAAGTCAACGATGGAAGATGCCGTGGTCTGCCTCCTGGTCGTGTTTTCTGGTATAGTTCGAGTAGCCTGGGCACCTACTTCACTTGGGAAGGAGACATCTCAGATCACATTTCGCGCGGAGAAAAGTTAATGGATAATGGAGTCACGTCTGGATAACCCAGGGTTTTTGAGACGTTTCCCTGGGTGGGTATTCACGGATGAGGGTTGACTTGGGGTGAAGAAAAAGACGCCATAACTTCGCAGTGGTACCTGCAAATGAAGCCTGATGCATGAGTGCTCTCCCTTTGTATTGAGTCGTCTATTATGTACTTTTCTTTGATATTGTGTCATAGCTAGAAATATGCATACACAATTAAAATCTGATGTGAAAAACAAGAATAATTTATCGTGGTTAGTCCTTTCACAAATCCTCATAATTTCCTGAGACACTGAGCAGTGGCTATTTATTACTTTTTCAATAAGCTGGGCGCTTATGGGGTCGTCGACATGTGGGGTAGTCTATATAGACTGGGTTGACAGGCACTTGACGTTCGTAGTCAAGTTTTGTGCGACAGCATGACATAAAGTAATAAAAAGAAGTTGCAGTTGCGCTGCTTCCAAAATTGGGGTGGTTTAAAATTATAAACCAACAGTAGGCAAATAGACTAGGAGTTTAAGCATTGTCTCACGAGGAATCGGCCCACATAGAGAATGTTATTGTTGCTAGGATATTAGTACGTAATTAAAAAATGCCATATCAAGCGTGAGCCTAAAGTGAGATAATTGGTTTTTCTGGCATTTGGGGGTGGTTAACAGCTTGTGCAATAGTCTTGAGTTTTTTTCCTGAGAAGATCGAGCCAAAATTATTCTCGCAGAAAATAAGCCATTATTTAAGACTCCGACTCAGAGACTAGTTTGATTCGAATTATTTTCAGTATAGACCTCTCCTATCAATTTTAGTGATTAAATCGCTTAATATAAATGGATGTGTGAGTAAGTTGCTTGAAAACTATATCCAGTTGTGAAAATAAATATAGCAAAGAAAATTAAATGTTTCGTTTTGAGAGTGGGCCAACATTCTCTGAATTGTAGACTTCATATGATCTTGGTAGCTATCCACCTTATGCATATTTCACAATGCCATAATTCTCCTGGGCCTTACACCTGTGTGATACGTGATAGCGTTGGAGGTTATCTGGTGAATCAAAGTTTAAACCTTCATATACTTAACAGTACTTTTGTCAAGATAGGTGGAAGTCTATCACTTAAGGTTGATAGGTTTGATAATGCTGAACAGGTTTAAATCCAAGCCGTGCAGGAAGAGACAGACGGAACCATTTAATGAGTAATTTTTTTCCAGAACAGTAGGAAGTTTGTATGAGATTTGGATATTTCATTTTCCGGAATCCAATTTTTGTTGGTCAAGTACCGCAAAGATCACTGTCGACCCTTGAGAAAGTTCAATCATAGTAGGCTCACTATTTCCAGAATATTTAAGCTTTGATATGCGGCTACAAGGGAGAATAATCGTATGTATTCCTGTAGTTCACCTGAGGGGTTCTTTAAGAACTTAGTAACAGCTATTTGTAAAAGATAGGCTATTTATTAAAAGAGGCTGTAGAACTCTTGCTTAATTATATGCCCAAAAATCCCAGATTGGGAACATATAATTTTTATTAATGATTCTTTTGAGCCCGAAGTCTGGCAATTTAAGAAGGCCAGCGTATACCCTTCTGATGTTCATGCTTTCTTGTCTGCTTAGTGCTTTTGGAGTAGAGCATAATACTTCGGGACTAATATCTTGGGTACTAACAATATGTTGATAATACTGCGGCGCGGCTTGCTGCTTTGAGGAAAGTTAATCGTCAGTAAGTTTACCAATAAGAATATACTAGTCCGCCATACATACTCAGAAACATTAAGCGTAAGCCGAAGGTTTCAGAATTTTGAAGTCATTCCTGGCTTGTCATATTGAGCAGCTTGAGTTTATGTGCTCTCTGATATTTAGATTTAGAATTCGATATGCTCGCAGCTGAAGATCGACTTTTAACAGTGTAGTACATCAGGTCTAATTCCTGGGAATCTTTTAAGCAAGAGGACTAAGTTTGGCTTAAGTTTAATGGCATGATATCTCTATTAAATCATTTTCGAGTCTTTCTTGCATGTTTCACTAAGTTCTCTATAACGCCTTCGAAGGCATCCCGGTCACCAAGTTTTTCATCTGTCTTCGCTGTCCAGTATGCTAGTACTTCTTTCGCCCTGCCTTGCATTTCATTTAGTTTTTCGGAGTGGTTTTCGAGCTCCGTATCAGTCAGGCCATTTAGTGCCTCATCCGTAATTGTACATAATTGTCTAGCGGAGGTTAGATCCAGTTCTGGCGCAAACTTCGCTTGTGTGTTCCTCTGCAGGTCGTATCGATTGGGTTTACCTGATAGATCGCTAGATGAAGGAGAGTTGATATGGTTGTCATTTCTTAATCGAGATACATTACGTGAATGAGCAGAGTTTTTCGGAGTGGAGGAAATAGATGGAAGGACTAGCTTCTTTTGTTTCGACGCCGGTAAGATCTCGTCCAGGTCAACTGGGACACCAAGGGAAACAAGGAACAGGCGCCTAATCCTGGATCTTATCCAATTAGGTGGTTGGAGTGGCGGAGGTGCGACTAGTTGCGACCACAGCGAGGCGCTACGGGGAGTCAAAAAGATTGAGTTTTCGTTTGAGACAGGCGGCAAGGTAGATGCATCGATTGATTCTGGTGGGAATAATAGTTCTAAGCATGGTTCGACTGCGTCGTATACCTCTTCTCTGGACTTATATTTTGAAAAGTCAAAAATTGGCTGACTTTTATTAGCGTTATGCGGAAATTTTTGAAAATTAAATGATAATGTATGCTTGTTAATAACTTACTAGCGCAGGTTTGTCTTTCGTAGGTATAGGAGCGCACTGAATAGGTGATTCCTCTCCAAATTCCTCATGAAACTCTCCAAAATCATTGTCTTCCATACCTTCTTCAAAATCGTCAAAGTCATCTCCGAATCCTTCGTCTTGCTCATCATTTTCTTCATTATAATCGTAAGATATGTCAGTGGTTACATTTGTATTTTTTTCCTGTCGAGCTTCGCTTAAATTAAGGCATTTGAAGGTTGTCTGCGGCTCTAATTTGGTCAACTGGTCTGGGTCGTGGTATCTTGTGAATTTTCATACCTATAACATCAAGGACTCCATGCAAGATTTTGCTGTGTACTCCACCATCATGGATATCATATGCAGGCGTTTCAGTCAACTCATCAAGTGAATGCCTAAGACTAGATACATCAAGCACGGCTGGAATTTCTTGGTCCGTCAAAACTCTAATTGACCCGATTTCATTATTCAGGTTGGGGTTCTCTTCAGATTCGGAACGGACATTAACATCGTGCGGGGATAGGTATTGTTCATCATGGGCTGGTAGATTAATTAATTCTTCATTGTTGGGGACATGGAGATCATTATTGCCTGCTATCGTTGTTGAAAATGATGCACTGTCGGGGTAGTTGTTGAAAAAATATGATTCAGGAAGCTTCGATTCTACTTCTATGCTACTTGTTCTAAGGGCAAGGTTTTGAAGTTTTGGAGATGTGACACTAGTTTTTCTCTTATTCTCTGATGCGGTAAGCTTCTGTTCTGATGTGTACTCAGTTATGCTTGGCGATACGTTGATAGAGGTAGGATCTATGGCAGAGTGCGCGTCGGAGAAATGATCGTCGGAATCAGAAGAATCTATGTAAAGTTATATGATTGACGAATTGAGCGAAACGTAGCCTTAGTGAAATTACTGACCATAATCGTTTGCTTCGGAGCTTTGGGCTGTAGCGGCATGAGTTGAGATTGATACTTGGTTAACACTCCCGTCTTCGGACATGATCAGATAGTATTATCGATATTTGGAGAATTACTGGTCTGGCGGTTCGAATCAACCTAGGATAATGAACATCAAGCGATTGATATATGCCGTCTCTGTCGGATACAGGGACTGTGTCTTACCTTGTTACCCGGACGTCCGCACTAAATAAGCGAGAGCCGACATTAATGATATATCCACCGGTTGACAGGCAAGTACAGGGTACCTTATCAGCTTATTAATCGCAAGAGTACGAATAATTATTCCTAAAGATATTTGATTCAAAGTCAGATTCTACACTGTCTTATCTGTCGGACAGGCATACTTTGCCTTTATTGAAAGAACCAATTTCAGGTCCAACGACGCGTGACAATCTCACCTCTAAATTTCATAGCAACGAAAATGTCATTTGCTCCAAATACATCTGGTGCTAGCAGTAGTAATCTATTTGCCCAAAACCCCCCTAAAGATGGGCTCTTTGGGGGCTTTACTGCACAAAATAACTCTACAACTTTTGGATTAAAGACAACAACCTCTGGACCTACCCCAACGCCAACCGCAACTTCTACAAATATGGAGCCACCAAAGTTATTTGGAGCTACCGCGTCTACAGAAAAAAATACAGGCCCATCAAACTCTCTATTTGGTCAGAAAGCAGGGGCTACGAGCCTATTCCCAATGTCGAATAATAACAGTAGCCAGTTCAATTTTGCTGGTCCAGTGGCGTCAGGTAATGATAAAAATCCTACAACATCTTCTGGCTCTCTTTTTACCGGCTCGCAAGCTCCCAGCTCACAGCTATTTGGGACATCTGCAGCAGGAGCAATGACTCCAGCAAAAACATTTTCATTCGGCACGTCTACAACGCCTGCCGGCCCGCCTCCAAAAGAAAACGAAATAAACTCTAAAAGTGGGATGTTTGGTTCTGGAAAACCCCAATCAGAAGGCTCGCTTTTCGGTGGTACCGGGTCTGGGATGACTAACATGTTTGGTAAAGGAAATTCGACGTTATTTAATACTACTAGCTCTTCAGAAAAAACAAATATATCCTCAAGCTCCCAGGCACCAAATCTCTCGGTAGATAAATCATCCACGACAGGAACTCCTAGCATTTTTGATGGGGCTACGTTAAGCGGGACTACATCTGCTCTTGCACCTAAAACTGGAAATAGTGATAACACTGAAAAATCTCAGAATCCAAAACCAGCGATAGGTTCAACATTTACTCCTATATCTACCTCTGAACCTTCGTTCTCGAGTAATTTGGCGTCGAAATTGAGTGAGCCAACTACAACAGCTCCTGCTACGATACCAAGCGCTTCAACCCCTCAAACTTCAAGCCAAGATGCAGGAGCTACAAACCAGCCAAGTGCTGCTAAAGCCTCTACAGCAGCATCATCAAATGTGCCGCCATTTAGTACTTCCACTATTGGCCCTACTCCACAGTTGACTCGCCTTAAGAACAAGACTATGGATGAGATAATCACTCGATGGGCTTCCGATTTATCCAGCTACCAAAAAGAATTTCACGAGCAGGCCGCCAAAGTTGCCGCCTGGGACAGGCTCATGGTTGAAAATGGGGAGAAAATACAAAAGCTCTACCTGAGTACATTCGAGGCTGAAAGGCAGAATGCAGAGATTGAGCGCCAACTTGATAACGTCGAGAGTCAGCAGGATGAGGTCGCAAGCTGGTTAGAAAAGTACGAAAATGAGATTGACGAAATGTTGGCACGTCAAGTCGGACAAGGCGAAACTCTCCAAGGCCCAGACCAAGAACGAGAAAGGACTTACAAGCTCGCAGAAAAATTGACTGATCGGCTTGATGAGATGGGGAAAAATCTAGCAGGGATGATTGATGCAATAAATGATGCCTCCAATACACTAACTAAGACTGGAAATGCAGATGATCCTGTTAGTACTACTATCGACACTCCAAAAAATGTGACTAATACTTTTCTCTCTAGCTTTCGTCAATCGTCAGAGTACTTAACAACCATCTAACCACTCTACAGTGGATTGATGAGAACGCAGAAGCCCTGAAATCCAAAGTAGCAAACGCGCAGAGCATTGGTCAAAGTATCGGCTCCAATAGTTATGTAGGATCAGGATCCATATCTGCTGATCACTTTTACCGTTCGATGACGGGTCAAAAATAATGATATTTGAAATTTTAGGCGTTTTATCAACTGGATTAACGGATGGGTCTGTAACGTATTTATTTCGTGCGTAATTAGCTGGAAGTTGGACCAGACCAAAAAAGGTTAATATCTATGAAAGCAAAAATAAAATATAGTCAAAATTAACTATAACCAAATGGTGTGAGATAAGAGAGGAATTTGGTCTCAATTGTACAAATAGTTATCTAAACTATGACGAACTCATAAAGTCTCCTTATCTAAATTTCATTTGCTAGTGATAAGTGAAGGCGACCTAGTGATACTAGAGGTCCCTAGAAATTAGATTCATTGCTAACTATTTTTTCCCACCTCCTCCTGCACCGGGATCCATATTTGAAAGTTCGTCGCTGTAAACCAATGTGTTAACATCTGCACAAGGAGATCTGCCAGAATTAGGGATGAGGGGTCTTACAGGTGTTCTTCAAGTCGACGTAGGTGATCGTGTTGTTCTGAGATACGTTTTTTGAGTTCAAGCAACTTCTCTCTTTCCCTTGACCTAATGTGAAAGTCTTCGTTTGACTTTTCTCGCTGGGTAAATGCGTCCCTATTTTAGTTTGATATCAGCATCTAGTTTTTGAAAAGTACAAAAAGACCACTGACGCAGATGCCGAGCCTCCGACTTTAGGAGATCCAGTATCACCAGCTGCCATAGCTCGTGTAGAAGTAGACAAAGGGGCAAGCTGCCTCATTCCTAGGGCTATCAGTTTGCTGGATATTGGATGATTCATTTTGATGAATTTTATGAGACCCATTGTGATTTGTAGTTAGAGAGTGCGTGTTGACTTTCAATGTGCAATGTGTGGTGGTATGATCATTCAGGGTCGGCGCCTGTGATGCGGAGCGCGTAGCGAGCAGGTTTAATATGTTGTCCGGAGGTTCGCTCTATCCTAGGCCCGCGTCGGGTCTCTCCAGGCACCGCAGATTTCCATGGCCGCAAATCTGTATTCTTTACCAACGAAATCCCTATTGCCCTATTGCGTCAAGGCTTAGGCCGTTTACGCAACTCATTAGGGATACAATAGTTAAGAACGCTATCTTGCATGAGTTGGAGATAACGGCATTAAACTTGTCCAAGGACGATAGGGAATGAACGCCTATCAGGGGTATACTGTACTAACTTCAGAGTGAGATCTTGTCACAGAAACTAGTTATTGAATTGAGTGCAGACGACGCTATAAACACCGCCATGGCTGGATGGTGCGGTGGTACATCATCTTGGCCGGTCTGCCAAGTAAAGCCTGGATAGTTTGGACACATACCTTACTCGACACAGTAGATTGCTGGTTCAAATCCAGCAAAACACTACCACTTTTCTCGCGGCACTGGTGTGCATGGATGACGGAGGCATGCTTGGATAAATAAAGGGTTTGAACTCCCCTTTGATGGCTACTTACAGAGGTGGGTCGACTGTCTGTGTTCGCAAACATACCTTATAGTGGTATTTGCGAATAAAATCCAAAGTATGACTCTCTCTCTGACGTCAGAAGAGTCATCCATCGTGTAAACATAGCTCCGGTCATGTGTCAAAGCTAGATAGCTGAATACACATTAAATGATTTTGAAAAAATGAAAAAAAGAGTCATTCAATTTTTGCTGCTCCAAGGAGTTGACCCACCAGACAATAATTCATGGCTTTCCGGAACTTCAACCCTTTACTCTTGACCAAGTTGAATCCGACCAGAGCCTCAAGAGGCTAACTATTGAGATCTTGCAAATTCTCTTTTCAACGACATTGTATTTATCCTATAAATATATGCACAGCACAACGAAAATGCCCGAAAGAGAACACCGATTTTTGAAACAGGATCTAACAGTTTCAATAAAGATGGGGGAGTGCAGGCGACACTATAAACACCGCCATGGTTGGATGGTGCGGTGGTACATCGTCTTGGCCGGTCTGCCAAGTAGAGTCTGGATAGCTTGGACACATGTCCCACTTGAGACAGTAGATCGCTGGTTCAAATCCAGCAAAACACAACCACTTTTCTCGCGACACTAGTATGCATGGATGGCAGAGGCATGCTTGGATAATTAAAGGGTTTGAATTTCCCTTTGGTGGGTACTTATGGAGGAGGGTCGACTGTTTGTGTAAGCGAACATACCTCATAGTGGTATTTGCGAATGAAATCCAGAGTGTGAGTCTCTCTAACGTCAAAAGAGTCATCCCACATGTATACATAGCACCGGTCATGTGTCATAGCTAGATAGCTGAATACACATTAAATGATTCAAAAAATAAAAATAAAAATAAAAGAAATAAAAATGGGGAAATTATAACGGGAACAGTTAGGGTCTTGCAAGTGGCTGTGATCCAATTTTAGTAGGTGTTTATGTATTGAAAGGCATTGCACGCACTACGGTTTCGTCAGTGATATTTCAGGCTATTATTAGATTATGATTCCTTTAGACGGGTAGAACTATATGACTAAAAGTATATTCGATAAATTTTAGAGTTCGATAAATTTTTATCGTCTCAACAGACTCAGAAGTCCCCAAGAATGCTGCGGCCTGGATCATACTAACGTACCACCGATAGGCTCATCGACACGCGAATATGGAACTACTAATACAGAGTATATAATATCTCCAAACGGAGGGCAAATCTGAACACCTGTACGCGTTGTCCTTTACGGACCTAGGGATGAAATATTCTCCCAGAGCCAGGTTCAGTCAAACTTCGCAATACAGAACAGGTCGGCCCACGAGGTAATAATTCAAAATGCTCCACCAATTCAATTTTTCTCTCCAAACGTGATCGACTCCTGTCTAAGCCTCATCAAGTCTGCTAGTACGACCAAGTATATCCTCATCCCAATTACCACACCTCTCGTCAGCTTTCTCTGGCTTCAGCTGGTTGCCAAATAAACGCCCATGCCGATATTTACACCTATCGGAATACACGAGTGGTATTTATATTACAAGCTTTCTGTATCAGTAATAACAATTGGTGGTCAACATATATCTTCATCCTTAACCTCCAGCTAGGGGAAACACGTATTCACAGCAGTTATCCCTCTCTCCTGACGCTATTCCTAAACAGGTAACTCATTACTTATCAACATAATTAGTCATTATTTAAAGGATAATACGTGAAAGGTTATTAAGTCATTTAACAACACCGGACGGAGGAAGCAAAGCGTAGCGCACAAATCTAGGAGACAGCCCTTTAGGATGAATGTGAGAGAGATCAAGACAAGTTCACAAGATGATTTAAAGGAAGGATTTAACCTCGAAGGGCGTGAAATTCTGAATTTTGGCAAGGAGTTTTACGAAATGAGCTTTGTGTGCGTCAAGACTTCACTTGCGAGAGTGCTGCTGACACTATAAACACAAGTCAACACAAGTCAACACAAGTCAACGATGGAAGATGCCGTGGTCTGCCTCCTGGTGGTGTTTTCTGGTATAGTTCGAGTAGCCTGTGCACCTACTTCACTTGGGAAGGAGTCACCTAAGACTATATTTCGCTCGGAGGAAAGTTAATGGATGATAAAGGCATGTCTGGATAACTCAGAGTTGACTTGGGGTGAGGAAAAGGCCACCATAACTTCGCAGTGGTACTTGATAATGAAATCTGAGGCATGAGAGCTCTTCCTTTACGTTGAATCATCTGTTTAGTACTTTTCTTTGATCTTGTGTCATAGCTAGATAGCTGCATACGCAATTAAAATCTGATGCAAAAAAAAAACCCTACGTTTATGTATATTTAGGCCATTAGCCATAAATAGAATATGATTATGTCTGTCGAACCTCTAGATTTTTTTGCTGTTTAGCACATTGGGCTCTCTAAGCCAAGTCACACCTCCTACAGTACTCCTATCCTCTTTTTTTTTCTTGAAAGATCAGTAACATTTTGCCCGTGGTAAATAGCCATTCAGCCCGGTATTTACCCATGGGACCCAGCCACTTTTTATGCGAAACCTTTGACCCAAAATAACAAAAATGGTATCAATGGGAACTACGTGCTCGGGAAAAAGTTTCAAAAAATCTCCAGTCTCAGCTAGGCGAGACCTAGACACTAGGAACACAAGAGATGCGCAAACCTATCTTTATCTCCCTTATTTGTAACATTAGAGGTCAGCCTGATCCAATCTATAATCTCCGTATTGGTACTGGGTACGCTCCAGGAGCTCATCGAATGACTTCTTCACCACGGAAAAGAATGGGTGATGAGTGAGGCTTCGATACTACTATCTGATCTGACCATGGTTGACTCCGTGTTGAAGTCGCTAGAGTGTTGTGCTGAGAAGTGAATACGATTCAGAGCATGAGAGCGTTTGGGAACCCCATCGAAGTGAGGACTTTGTTACTCAGTCTCGGCTCTGCAAATTAGACATTGAGAGCTGGAGGTTTTTAGGAGACACCGTTGATAGGTGATAAGTTTTCGTCCCCCAGAGTAAGTGTTATTTACCTTCAAATACGAAATTTACCTTATATCGCAGGTAGTAAGATACGTAGATCATGTTAAGGGGAAATTTAGTGTCTATCAACGATAGGAAACACTTCTTGTCAAGTTTTTTAAATTCACAACGCGAGCTGAAATAGGTATTTGTAGAATATTCTTTTTCTCAGCAGATACTGAACAATGCACGCTAGCAATAGAAGCTTGTGGGAGAAAACTGTCCCAAGTGAAACGAAAATATGCTGGCTACAATCTAAAAACGCTTCGACGTATGAAAGACAAAAATAAACCCGTGACGTTTTCAAGCGCTCGGATGCGTGAAAATCAGGGCTTAAAGTGTAAGGAAAACCCACTGATCCTGTGAAAGATGAAGACCTTAAGTAGCCAGATCTGCTATGGCCCGACGTAAGTGTCTGGACTTGGCTCAGAGGAACGGTTCAATCTTCAATGTTTGGAAGGTGTTGCGGTCAATTAGTTTACTTTGTTCTAGTCAGCTCTCCACGGGGGAATTGAAACCGGCTAATCCAGGCCATGAGACAAAAGAATCTGTGGCAAAATGAATGGTTGTAGTACGACACGAAGTATAGGATAATGGCTTTAAAGAACATGACACGAGCCAAGATAGTCCAGCATTCACAATTCTTCTAGAATTTGTGTCCATTGGAATATATCTGTACCAGCGCGAGCCAACGTTCAATTGAACCAGTGTCTTTACTACAGTCTTGTTTTCCAAACAGATCGAAAGAGTTAACATGGGTTGCCTTGCCATGATTAGCTTTTTGTAACTGAATAGTGCTGCCCTGTCGTCTAGGAATGAACAGATTCCCTCAAACCAAGGACCTGCTGTATTTTTGACAACTAGCACAGACACACACAGTCCTGCGCGCATAAGGTTCACATATCGTTGCCGTTCCTCCAATTTTGCAGGCGCGACTTATTATAGTACGGCGACCGAAACTGCTTATTCATGCAAATCTACCGCTAAGTACATTCATTCGTTCTGCACCATCCTTTTCCCCCTCCAGCTGTCTCCCTTTTCCTTACCATTATCATCACAACAATAAATCAACGTCGCGGATAACATCGCCCTTCTGGTTTGATATTTCACAAACGAAGGCCAAATAATTAGATCTCCTATTTTGAATCACGGTACGAGCAGCTCCACTCTAACATCCCTTACTTCCCCTGATTTACACATACTTGCCACATATCTCTCTACGATTCAACCTTTCTATCGGCGACAGGGCAACCTTTGCAGAGTAAAAATTATGGGAAATACAGAATTTGGCGAATATTTTAAAAAGCTGTGAAGTTGTGATGAGTAGCTGCCCCCGCAATGAGGGGCATCAGAAACCGCGGTATCTTGACACTGTATAGAATGCCGGTAGTCCCTGAGTACTTAGTATGCTACATCTTCACGGCTTTAAATATCAATCTAAATAGCAAGACTTGATTGTTTCCTAGCACATAATTTGGGATTAGACGAACGAACATAACCTGCAGTCAACTTCCAGGATAATACTCTGAACTACAGTCACTTATGTACACATCATGGACCTGCTAACAAAATCAGCAGTCACAAAAATTTCACGATGGGATACGAAGATTCTGTTTATCTCGCAAAGCTTGCTGAGCAAGCCGAGCGATATGAGGGTTTGAAAGCTGCTCGATCTTTTCATTCAAGAAATTCGCTTATTTTGTCGCAGAAATGGTAGAGAACATGAAGCAGGTAGCTTCCGAAGACCAAGAGCTTTCAGTCGAAGAAAGGAACCTACTCTCTGTGGCATACAAAAACGTTATCGGTGCCCGTCGTGCTTCATGGAGAATTGTCACATCTATTGAACAGAAAGAGGAATCTAAGGGAAACTCTTCTCAGGTTGGTCTGATTAAAGATTACCGTCAGAAGATCGAGGCAGAACTTGCCAAGATTTGCGAGGATATTCTCGAAGTTCTCAACAAACATCTGATTCCATCTGCAAAAAGTGGAGAGTCCAAGGTTTTTTATCACAAAATGTAAGCTTCTTCAAGTAATTAACACTCATGATTTAATTTTAAGCTACAGGAAGGGAGATTACCACCGTTATCTTGCAGAATTTGCTGTTGGTGATAAGAGGAAAGAATCTGCTGATATGTCCCTTGAGGCATACAAAAATGCGACCGAAGTTGCCCAGACTGATCTCGCACCGACTCACCCTATTCGTCTCGGACTAGCCCTTAACTTTTCAGTATTTTATTATGAAATCCTCAATTCTCCTGACCAAGCCTGCCATCTCGCCAAGCAGGCATTTGATGATGCAATTGCAGGTATGTTCTCTAGACAAGAACTTTTCATATTTGATTCTAAGTCATGATTTAGAGCTTGATACCCTCAGCGAAGAAAGTTACAAGGACTCCACTCTCATAATGCAACTCTTGAGAGACAACCTGGTAGGAAAGAAGAAAACCTTATGTATTATTACCATTGACCATGTTTTAGACTCTCTGGACTTCATCGGAGGCCGAATCAGCTACCGCTGACCAGGCAGCCACCACAAATGTTCCTGACTTGAAGGAAAGCGAAGCTGTAACCAAAGAAACAGCAACTGAAGCATCTGCAGAGTAGAGAGATGCAATAATCTCTGGCGTTGATGTTTGATGCGAGGAGCTGGCAAGCGGGCTGGGAATATGGTATTTCGTGTCTGGCAGCACAGTGGAATTATAAGATGGAGCAGTTCAGGACAAAGATATTCTGGAGGTTAATTCCCAGTAGGTTTGCTTTCGCATCTCCCTCTCTCTAATGAACGATACTGTATTTGGTCTCATATTTCAATCAGAGACCGCTTTGTTCACCTCTTAAAATCAAAATTCCTTCGGCTTAGCATGCCGAAACCTATAACCCAACCCTTTAGACTAGATTATTGTGCCAGATATTACAGGCCTTTTATTTATTGTATCCTCTCCGTTTTTCCTCGACTATACGATGATCAAGGGATGAATTACTCAACCCATTACGATTTGCAACGGATTTCTCTATACTACGGTTATCAAGACTTCAAGTACTCGTTCTACGTGGTTCGTCTCCATACAGTAGGACTTATCAGATATCTAAGGTCTGGTCTCTAACTTTATTACATAATGTTTTGTGTCATTTTCTTCACGTGTGCTAAAAATAGTGGAAATCGTGAGCGAAAAGAACCGTTCTTTCGCGTCATTCAATGATAGCACAAATGATTTTGCGCCCGAATTAAACTTTTTCGTTCTATGTTCCACCTTCATGTACTTGTAGCCAGCATGTCAATTAAAACCCAATCGCCTGCCCCATGCCCCCAATCTCAACTCTGGCGATGTTAACCTGAAGCGGATGTTAAGCCGAGCGGTCAAATTCATACCTCGACTCCAGATGCTTCCAATAAGCCCTATATTTGAACCCAAAAATGTTGATATAACGCCTATTTCTCCGTTGCAAATGAATATAAATGCATCCATTCCTCCGTAAAGCCTTAAACAAGAATGGTCGGATCGCTGATCTTCAACACACCATTTGTAATATATAATTTATTAGTACCCTGGAACCTTCCGTGAAGGTGTGTTCACGCTTCCCAGCTTGCCACTTGATTTCCTAATACCGGGACTGTCTTTTCCACTTCTAAGTACCTCGCCCACCCTCTTTGAGCTTCCTCTAACCTTACTAAGTGGACTCGAATAGGTCGCTGACTTCACTGCGTTTAGGTTTTTTAAACGTGACACATTTCCCAAATTTTCGATGTCGTTACTACTGTCATGGTCAATCGAGGAGTACATAGTTGTAGTTGTTTGACTAGTGCTCCGGACACCAGGAGAACAGGCAATTTTGCGGCTTGATCGCATACGGAATTGAATCTCATCCTTTGTATCTGAATCATCCGATGAAGATCGATGTATTGAGATAGTCTCAGTCTCGTGCTGAACAACTTGGCTATCATCATTGGATGTGTGGGAAGAAACATTTCGGGAGTACGGATGGTGGCGTTCGTTGCCTCTACTGGTCTTTCGTGGTTGTCCTGGTGTTGGTGCTGGGAGACAATCTTCTTGGACCCCAATGCTATTTCTCTGGCTGTGGTCAACTTCTCCGAGAGGTGATCGCGTACTGCCATTAGGTGGTGTGACGATTTGGGCACTCAGCTCCGAAGTCTTTGTATTGAGCTTGGATGGCGTTGATGGTGTCGGGGTGGGGTATTTTTCCTTTATTTTCATTTCGAATTGTTCTTCGAGCCACCATTCACGAAAGATGGCCTGATTAATGTGAAGCCAATGTTGTTGCGGGCCAACAACCATTCCTGGTCTCATGAACCGCATGAAGGCAATAATTTCGTTTGCGGGAAACCCATAGCGGTAGATAAGATATGCTCCAATTAAACATCCAGTCCTTCCAAGTCCAGCCTTACAATGTACTGCAATGCCTCTCTTTTTGACGGTTATAGTTTCGTGAGCTAGTGTGATAAACTTTCGTACAGTTTTGAGGGTGGGACAGGTTCCATCGTCGAAAATCATGTCCAAATGATCTATTCCAAGAGCTGTGAAATAAGATGGTGAATAAAGTTCCGAATTGAGCCGTACTACTAACCCTATGTTTCTTGATGTGAAGTGTTTAAGAATATTTTTAAATGGACCTGGAAGGCTTGGGTGAATGTCAATATCTTCGATCGTTTTCGGTAATGATGCATAGAGAGGGGAGGATCTTAATATAGGAGCAACAGGCGAATGTTGGGGCGAAGCAAATGCTATGAAATCAGGCGTAAGCCAGTTGAAATCTCCTTGGTCTACTCGTTCATATTTTTCGTACTCTTCCAAGTCAAACTGAGGCAAGGCACAAAATCCTTGGTCTTTTGCCCGCCATACGCCATACACAACGTCTTGTACAGTAATTCCATAGTCTGCTTGGCTATAACCAGCGTCGCGAAAAGGCATTAGGGGTGGATCGACTTGAGAAATGGGCGCAAGTGCCAAATGGGGGGCCCAGGACTGGATGAGGACCATATATGAAGCCAATAGACAAGCCGCATTTGCTCGACCTAGAGAGTGTTAGATTGAACGAAATGTCTGTGGTACACAATTACGTACTTCGGGCGTCTGGCTTACTCCAAAAAACAACTGGACGACTTTTATTTTCTGGTGCACCTAAAATATCGTGGAACATGACCGCAAATCGATATAGATGCCCAATGTTCAACGGACCAAAATCATGGTGAAAAGCATTGTAGAAAAGTGTGTCGTCTACTGTGAAATAGCATGGCGGTGTGCGATTTGAGGCCGTTTGAATTACAGATGGACCATCAATTGCTTTCGTGGATCTTTTGCTTGTGTAGCGTCTAGTGGATATTGATTCTGGATACGGGAAAAGAGTGTCGGCAGAGGGTGGTGTAGTGTATGATGCTAGGTACAAACGGTCTATTTATATCAGTAACTCGGACTAAATTGTTGTGCTTGCTGCGGCTTCTTTTTCTCCCTTTGTTTCCAAAAATTTATCTGATTTAACTACACAAAGAATCGAAACAGCTTCAGGTTACATGATTTTAGGATGGGCATGATACCCGTATGTTTCTTGTGAAGGTATGAGGGGGATATCAGAGCTGGCCTACCTGGGATGAACTCAATCACCTGTCCATATTTAATTGATGGTGGCATATTTGAGTTGAGCTATTAAGCCTCAAGCCCTAGTGATTGCTAGATGCGCGGGACAGCCTCAAAGGGGCCTCTGAAGCGATATATTTGGTCCAATTCGTCGGCACACAACTTTTCTAAGTTTTGTAGAGCGTTAATAAAGATACACGACCCTGCTAGTATAAATATTCCCAGTTGTGGTTTGTCAAGGTAGGAGAAAGAATATGATCCGAAGAGGGAGAATTTATGGAATAAGCTGTACATAAGAATGGCGGGAGGAGATTATCTTTGTGTACTCGGGTGGTGACCAGGGCGTGGTTTCCCGAGCAACTCACACGAGTCGCAAAGTAGAGCCCTGATAATTTAGGCTCTCAATGCCATAACAACGTACCAATTGTGAGTTAAAATATCTCCCTTGACAACAACCCTCAGAGGATTATTATGGACGCAATCACATGCGCCAAACTTTCAAAGGCTTTGTGTGTATCCTCTCAACATAAAGTGGACGTCGTTGACAATACATAGAACCATTGACCTTCCTTTTCCCAACGCTCGGCTTGCAACTATTGCACTCCGGGCGCTACACGTAGACGAGGAACTCTCTCCACTTGTACACCGGTCTCTCTCGATCATATCTCCATCTTTTCAATCCCCTATGATGAATTCAAGTATCTCTGAGGACACAGTACTACGAGCGGAGTATAGAGCTACGACCAACAGATTGCTCAGGGTAGCTATCAATGGATTTATGGAAAGTCTAGGCGTCGTAATAGGTGTGATGGAGGAACTGGATGTGGAAGTGTTTGAAAGCAATTCTAAAAAGAATATCACTGCAAAGAATGTTCATTCGAACCACGGCTGACATTTAATTGCACCAGCGGTGAAAAGCTGGCATACTGCAATTAATGTCACGATGTCTGAATGACAGAATATGGATTTTCTTTTTATTGAAATCCGCGATATGTCGCCACCTCAAACTTGATGGTTAAATTGGCTTAGGCAGAGCCGGAGCACGCCCGTAGCTAGCCATCAAGTTTTCACTGAAGTATAAACACAGGACACCAAATCTTACATATATTCCATGAATGGAGCTTTCTCAATGTGACACATCATCAATTCATTGCGCACAGGCTAGAAGTGTTTTTGTCTCCACCTACCACGGTAAATCATGTTTACATTAGAGAGTCAACCCCCTCCCGTAACTACTCTCTAAAGAAAATGTTCAACAACGTGATATACTGAAACGCGTCATCCTCACCATCTGCTCATATATTCAGAGAGTGTCCGAGTCTTGCTGAACAATGCATCGTCGCAAATTCATCCGTGACCGTATTTGTTGTGATGCGACGTGCGTGAATATTTATTTATAATGTTTAACGTCGTGTGCGCGCACAACACGTGAGATTTTCACGCACCGTCTATCCCAGTCTAAATTAAACTACCCGACGTGTTGTCGCCTACACAAACCCAACATAGCAAATGAAAGCCAGGATCTTATCATCCAGCACTCAAAGATTATAGTATGCATGGAGGTCGTCCATCCAACGACCTTGTGTTGTGCTATTGGTATTAAATGAAGAAAAGATATCAAAAAAATGAAAAGACGAAGTTGTTCACATCAAATCGTGATTTCGTTCGAATTAGACATGTCGTGTACGATGTGTGGATGCATATATGAGTTAAATCAGCTATAATTACATGGTCATGTGACGAATGAGGACTGGGGGATATGCAGGAATCGAAGGTGATCCGTGCGTACATATACAAAGGTAGGGAGGTCTTTCAGGTTGAACCCAGGTAGAGAACCATTTTCTGTGTGTTTATTGTACTACTTAAGTCGTAGACTATCTGGCACAGGCCACACCTTGTACAGTGCTCCTTGCCACTTGTGTACCCTGAAAGATGATTGATATATTGCCCGTGATGAATAGCTATTCAGCTCAATGTTTACCCGTGGAATTCGGCCACCTTTTCCACGGAACCTTCTGCCCAAAAATATAAATATGGTAGCAATGGAAACTTTTTTTTTTTTTTCGCATCAGATTTTATTTGCGTATGCAGCTATCTAGATATGACACAATATCAGAGAAAAGTACAGAAGAGATGACTCAGTTTATAATAGGAGCACTCATGCCTCGGATTTCATTTGCAAGTACCACTGCGAAGTTATGGTGGTTTTTTCTTCACCCCAAGTCAACCCTCATCCGTGAATACCCACCCAGGGGAACGTCTCAAAAACCCTGAGTTATCCAGACATGCCTCCGTCATCCATCAACTTTTCTCCGCGCGAAATATGGTCTGAGATGTCTCCTTCCCAAGTGGAGTAGGTGCCCAGGCTACTCAAACCATACCAGAGAACACCACCAGGAGGCGGACCACAACACCTTCCATCGTTGGCTTGTTTTTATAGTGTCAACTGCACTCTCGCAAGCGAAGTCTTGGCGCGCACAAAGCTCAATTCGTAAAACTCTTGCCAAAATTCAAAATTCCACGCCCGTCGAGAATGTATCCCTCTTCTGCATCATCTTGTAAACTTGTCCTGATCCCTCTCACGTCCGTCCCAAAGAGCTATCTCCCAAAATTGTACTCCACGCTTTGCTTCCTCCTTTGGGTGTAAATATCGGCGTGGGCGTGTATTTGGTGACCAGATGAGGCCAGAGAAAGTCGACGAGAGGTGTGGTCATTGAAACGAGGATGTACTAGGTCGTACTTGTAGACTTGATGAAGATTAGTTGAGAATCGGACTCTTTGGGAGTGAAAGATTGACATGGTGTAGTAATTTGAATTTTTGCCTCGTGGGCCAACTTCTTTGATGTTGCGAAATTTGAGCAATGGAAACTGCGTGCGCGGGAAAAAGTCTCAAAAAACCTGCAGCCCCAGCCAGGCGAGGCCTAGACACCGGGATCACATGAGGTGCGCATATTCATCTATATCTCCCTTCTTTGTAACAGTCGAGGTCGACTTGATCCAATCCACCATCTCCGTATCGGGTGCTGGGTACGCTCCGGAAACTCACCGGATGGCTTTTCCTCCATGATCAAGGGTGGGTGACGAGTAGGGCTCCGACCCTACCATCTGATCTGATCGTGGTTAGGTTCATGATAGTGGTGACAGGGGAATGTGTTGAGAGATGAAGACGATATAGACCGCGAAAGCGATTGGGAATCCTTATCGAAGTGAGGACTTTGTGACTCGATCTCGGCTTTGCAGACTTTATAGTGAGAGCTGGAGGTTCGTAGGGGACACCGCTGACAGGTGTTGAGAATAGCCCCCCCAGAGAACCATAGTGGTCTAGTTATAATTCAAGATTGAGTCAATAAAGTTTACAGTTACCTATATTCTCGCAAAGGACGTTGTGGCACGCGCACTACTCAGTATATAATTTATTTTCCTCCTATCGAAAATTTTTTCTTTTCAAGATTGCACCTATACTTGGCAGCATCCTGACTTTATATCATAATATTTCTCATATGCGGCCCAACTTTCTACCTCATTACATATATGCGCTATAATTCTCGTAATCCTGAGGATATTCATTTCATTATTGGCGTATGTATCGAGTCGATTTGAAGACAGCCTGCTTCAACGCAAAGAATGGCCATAGAGATGTGCGTCTATTAGATCTTAGTGAAGACTATGTGAAGCCTACGTCAGGTTCAAACTTATTGGAAGTAGAGGGTTGAAGTGGTAAAAGTCTTAAATCATTGTCTTGTGGTGCTAAGTTCTCTAGTTCGAAGTTATGATTCTGCCTGTCTTTTGAAGGAATATATCTCAATCTTGCAGAATAAACTGCCTAAGGCAGTAAGGTCTCACGAGCCTCACAAACATTAACCCGAGCTTTAAAGCTTAACACTCATCATCAGTGTAATTCAACAAACTCAGTCTAAACCACGATCAAATCTAGGTTTTTTAACACTCCGCAACATGGTTGCTGACCATCCGGTAAAAGATCCATGACGTCTACTTAGCTTTGTTTCATACCGTTATCAGGCTATATTTCAAACCTTATTATGTAAGCAAATATTACCTGTTACACGGAATTCTCAACACACAAGTTTCTTGTGCTCTTAGTTTCTAACGCTAGCTAATCTCAACATAAGGGTCTCTAGTGATGTGGATTGATGAGTACAAATTCGATTCACAGCCCACAATATTATGATATGAGGTTAACTAGGATCCCAATACTAACTCTGACACTTGTATGTATACCGGGAATTCTGTGTATTGTTTAAGTATGCAAATAATAGATAGTAAAATATCCCCAAACTGTGTCTTCGATTTCTTGGAATTCAGTTGGACCTCAAGTTAAACTGAGCATCCCACGTTAAGGGATAACAAGCCAAAGCGGAGCCGGCAAAGACGGATTCTTCACCTTCCAGTGGTGCCGGTGTAATCGCTTAGTATGCTCTACATATCTGGGGTAGCCAAGAAGAATCTCATCCGAATCAAAGTCGAAAGCAAACATATGCATATCTCCATTTTACGACTTCTCAATCATGCAGCACTCACCGTTATCTTCTGAGTCCTCAACCTCTTTCTAACCATATATCATCTCGCTTCAACGACCGATAAAGGTGTCACCCCAATTGCAAACAGGAGCTTGCCTCATTCATGGCCGGCCATCACTCACTACAAAATTACGACGCAATGTATACCCGCAAGGAGGAAATTAAGTCATAATATACAAATTTGGGGTCTTGGTTCACGGGGGACTGATGCTCTAATGGGGTTATAGATCTTGAGGAAGAACAAGTCTCTGAAGACCTTTCCGGGACTGGCACCTTCGAGAGGTTTTCAACTTTGGATTTTTTGCGGGCGCCAAGACCAAGATTTCGGCTAATTAGCCAGGAGGGCCTCTTTTGTCGAGGAGTCAACGGCACTCCCCAGCGCCCTGGACGGCACTAAAGAAGTTGGGCTAAGCTACTATACAGCAATCACGCTCTATCAAGACTTTTCTGACATTTCAGCACGACCTTCGGGAAGGAGTTGGAAGGAGGCTAGAAAGGCAGAGGGTGAATTTCCCGAGGTACCTACAAGTCTGCAGCGCCCAGCTGGCCGGCCTCTTCAAACGCTTCAGAAGGGGCAATATGTCTTCGGATTTATTCCTAATGTCGGTATTAGAAGAGCTCCGCAACCAGTGGTTTTTGCGATTTTTCCCGGCTGCCATAAACCCGCAAATGGCCATCGTTTCGTTGACAGGAGAGTGGAGATAATGAAGGGCAAAGGGCTCCTCTAAGTGTATGATCGAATGAGGACTTGTGAGGGGTGGTACTGTTTGAGGGGAGCTGTATGGGAGGCGTGGGAGGGGATATACTACTTGTATAGGTATCCTTGGCATGGAGGCAGATAGGACCTGCATGTCCTACATAGTCATAGATTCGGACAGGACAATAAAATGAATTAATAATAATAATTTGCAGTGGTACCTGCAAATGAAACCTGAGGCATGAGTGCTCTCCCTTTGTATTTTGTCTTCTATTATGTACTTTTCTTTGATATTATGTCATAGCTAGGTAGCTACATACGCAATTAAAATCTGATGCGAAAAGAGGGGATTCATAGGTAAGTGCTGCTCTTAATACCGCGTAGTATGATAGACGAGAAATGTTGAAATTTGCACCCCACGTTGACTTAGTCGACTAAATGACTGCATTTATGACTCTACTTTGGCTTATTATTATTAATAATTATTTTCTTTTCTTTTCTGAGTTTATGAATATGTAGGACATGCAGGTCCTATCTGCCTCCATGCCAAGGATACCTATACAAGTAGTATATCCCCTCCCACGCCTCCCATACAGCTCCCCTCAAACAGTACCACCCCTCACAAGTCCTCATTCGATCATACACTTAGAGGAGCCC